CTTTATAACATTATATGCAAGCAGGGGCATCATCTGTGTCCCATGGACACATTCCCCATTTTTTTTTGTCATGTGAATTTCTCACATGTTATGAGTAATAGGATAACTATATTTGGTATACATATATGGGTTTCATCACTGGTGTTAAACTGATCATGGTAACTGCAGTTACCACAATCCCAATATGGCGGAGGCAGAAATAGGTGAAATTGTTTTCTGCTTATTTCTCCATGTATACATGTTGTTTTCAAGAATTACTCAGCCACCAGGTTGATCTGTACGGTTTAGTTGTGGGTGTGTGTTATGAATATCATATATGGCATCGTTACTGAAATAATAGCCATGGAAAATTTTAGGAAGATAATCGTAACTAAAAAAAAAGATAATCTTAACTAGTGGACAAATAACTTGAAAGATAATCGTAACTGCAAAATATTTCAATGATAAAAGTAATTGATTTTGATAAAAAGGTTGTGTCATAATAACAACGAATGCGATATTTTTTGTTAACCACCATACCTCAATGGACGACTGAAATATGGTATGCAATTATTATGCACACAACTTTTCCAATCTTTCCAACACAGATTTAATCACTTTATTAGTCTGAATTTAGATTGTTTACAAATGTAAGCATAGAAATGTATTAAAAAACTTAAAGTTGTTTTACTTTCAAAATAAAAATAAGAAGATGTGGTATGATTGCCAATGAGATAACTATCCACCAGAGACCAAAAGACATAGATGTAAGCAACTACGGGTTATTGTACAGCCTTCAACAATGTGCAAAACTCATAGAGAAAGCTAACGTCAACCACTAAATTACAGACTCCTGAATTCGGACAAGCGCATACAGAATTTATTAGGGTTAAACATGCTTGTGAGCGATCTCCTCCTTCTTTTTATGAAAAAGAATCACTTTTACTCCCAGATTTCTTATTCTTTTTGTATGCTCTATTCTATCTTTTGATTAACCTTCTTTTATCTGCCCCAAACGACACTGGGGTGAGTAGGGAATATAAATATGGGCATCATTTTCTTCTTCCGACGTGCAGTCAAAACCCTCCTTGCATAAGTGGGGCGTCCGTTTTGGCTTTGCGGGATGTATAAATACGCAGCCACATCTGGTCAGAATGGTGACATTAAATCTAATGCCTCATGTAGAGAGTATGCTACGCTCTCTTCACGTTAAGAACCATAAAACACTCTTTGAGAGGTCCAAAGGCGACCTTTTGCAAGGGATAAAAGGTCCCTTCTCAACTAATCCTCATTTTCCAGTGGCAGTCCAAATTTTCCGACCTTCATCCCGGACGGCCCCCTTTTATAGGACATATTTATTGTTAATTTGTTTTCTTCCTGAACATGCATGAAATATACGCCACTGGACTTTCAGCAACCAACAATCAATCAATCTTATATCTCCTGTCATAAAAGGCATCCATTTTTTCACGATCAGCATTAATAGTCGAAAGTGCATCTGGAGCAAAACAATTGATAACGTTAATGTTATAACTACCACCGGGCCGATACCTTTATGAGTTGTCGAAATAAGCATCTGTTGCAGTAAAGCAACATTGGTACCGTTAATCTTTAAAAAAAAATATAACTACTACCAGGTCGACATCTCTGTTAGTGATCTGTAAGTCCAAGAGAGTGTCACCAGCCCAGTTGCTTTGGTACTGGGACGCAAAAACAGTTTTAGATTGATTGATTTTTTTTGTTATGAAAAATCATTTATATTAAGGAATATATCTTCTTCTTTAAGTAAACAATATACCAATCAATATTTGCCGTAAATTTTAACCTGTGAAACATAAAACTTTCAAGCAAGATTTAGATATAATCAACGTCCTAATCAACAAATAAAGCTACGTTTATCACTGACAAGTTGCTATTATCATGTCCAAATTACGACTATCTGATAGTCCAGTTACGATTATCATATCAAACAAATTTCTTGGAGTTACGATTATCTTCCTTGCATTTTCGATGGCATTTTTTTTTTGTTACGAGGCCTGGCGGTTGAGTAATTCTTGAAAACAAGAGAAATAAGCAGAAAACGATTTCATCTATTTCTACCTCCGCCATATTGGGATCTTGGTAACTGCAGTTACAACGATCAGTTTAACACCAGTGTTTCATGTAAGATCAACATGTCTGTCATACAGGGTTCACCTGACCTCGACCTCATCTCATGGATCAGCTATCAAGGTTAAAGTTATGTGATTAGATCAGTTTCTCAGATACTGTAAGCAGGAGGTCAACTATATTTGGTGTACGGAATAATTGTTAGGTGTACATGTCTGTCCTTGATCTCATATTCATGATTCATTGGTTTCAGTAGTTAGGTCCTCTTTTAAGATGCTATAAGCAATAGGTCAACTATATTTGGTGTATGGAATGATTGTAAGGTGTACATGTCTGTCTGGCAGGGTTAATCTGACCTAAACCTCATTTTCATGGTTCATTGGTCAATATTAAGTTTTCATGGTTTGGTTTATTTCTTGTATACTATTAGCAATAGGTCAACTTTATTTGATGTATGGAATGATTGTAAGGTGTACATGTCTGTCTGGCTTGGTATAACTGACAGTAACCTCATTTTCATGGATCATTGAAAATGTTGTTTATGTGATACTAGTCTCATTTTAATGGATCATCGAAAATGTAAAGTTTATTTGATACTAGTTGCAAAACTTTATCTTTAGGACTATCAACATAAAATCAATCAAGTTAAGTAAAAAAAAAGTAGGCAAGACATTTCAGCTTGTGCATGCTTGTGTAAACCATGTGTTACAATTTGCTTTGAAACTATTCTCGTGACTTTAAAAAGGCAATTCAATAGCTGACAAATTCATGTTCACCAATTTGACTAAAATTTTCATATTTGATGTATAACATATTAAAAGGTATATCCAAATCACCAAAAGTCTAAAATAACAATTAACAATGCATGGACCTGATAATTTATATCAGCATTTCTTGTGTATTTTAGTCTAGACACCATCTAATTAACCATCGAAATGACCTCTGTAGACTGCCGACTGTATAAGAATGATTTTTTTGTGGATCGAATCAGTCAACGAAATGGTTCACCCTTGTTTCATTTTCAATGTTGACATTCTTTTCCTTTTATTAGCTGAACACGCCTATTACATGCATAACCCATCTCTAGCAAAGGGGTTAATTTAAAGTTAACATGAATACGGATTCACATGAGGTCAAATTATTCACTTGCAAGTGAATAATACATCAACAATGTTTTTGAACTTATTTTGACAAATTTGGTTCAAACAAACTGCTTATGACGAAATATCATTTCAAAATTCAGCTTTTATATATACTGGAAACTAAAAGAATCAAATTTTAAATTTGTGTCTAACTCGTAGCTAATGCCCCTTTAATTATTAATAAAAAAAAAATTGAAAGTTTTAAAAGTTCATATTGACACCCCATGACAAACTTCTGGATCTGCCCCTGATAATCAAATCTATCTTCATTACACAACAGGTCAGAACCATGCTAAAGACAATAATCAGCATTGTCCCCATTAAACTCGTTCAAAACTTGGCTAAAGATAGTCCCCACTAAACTGTTGGTCTAAACCAGGCTACATACAATAACCAGAATTGTCCCCACAAAACTGTTACTGTAAATTCATAAATTATTGCGTGCATTTATTACTTCGAATTTTTGCAAAATGGACTAAAATGCTAGATTAATTATTGCGATTTCAGGAAAATCTGCATACAGTTATATGTATCAGATATAAGAATGCAAGTTCTTATTATTGCAATACTTATTTAGTCGCATTAATAAAAACCTCGCAATAATTTCTGAATTTACAGTAGTCAAATCCAGGTTACAGGCTATAACAAGAGCTGTCCCTACTAAACAGTCGGTCAAACAAGGCTATAGAAAATTTCTAGAACTGTCCCTACTAAACTGTCCGTCAAACCAGGCTACAGACAATAACTAAAGCTGTCCCTACTAAACTGTCAGTCAGACAAGGCTACAGACAATAACTAGAATTGTCCCTACTAAACTGTCGGTCAAACAAGGCTATAGACAATAACTAGAACTGTCCCTACTAAACTGTCGGTCAAACAAGGCTATAGACAATAACTAGAACTGTCCCCACTAAATTGCCGGTCAAAACCTGGCTATATACAATAAACAGAACTGTCCCCACTAAACTGTCGGTCAAAACAAGGTTATAGATCCTTACCAGAATTGTCCTTACTCGATTGTCAGTCAAAACCTGGCTATAGACACCAACCAGAAATGTTTCTCCTTAACTGTCGGTAAAAACCTGGATATAGACAATAAACAGAACTGTCCCGACTAAACTGTCGGTCAAAACCTTGCTTTAGATAAGAAGCAGAACTGTCCCCAATAAACCATCAGTCAAAACCTGGCTATAGATAACAATCAGAGCAGTCCCCAAGAAACTGTGGGTCAAAACCTAGATATAGACAATAAACAAAACTGTCCCCACTAAATTGTTGGTCAAAACCTGGATATGGACTGGACAATAAATAGGACTGTCCCCACTAAACTGTCGGTCAAAACCTGGCTATTAGAAAATAACCAGAACTGTTCCAACTAAAATGTCAGTCAAAACCAGGCTATAGACACTAACCAGAATTGTCCCCACCTAAACCGTTGGTCTAATGTTCTCTAACCCAGGCTTTAGACAATTACCAGAACTGTCTCCACTAAACTCTTGGTCAAAACCTGGCAATAGAAATTGCTAGATCTGTCCCCACTCAATTGTCAGTTAAAACTAGGCTACAGACAATATGTAGTATAGACCAATCATATTCAATTATTAATAGATGTGCAAATATTAGTTGATAAATGAGCACAATAATTTCTTGTTATTTAGTATAGAGTTTGTGGTAAAATAATTGCATTCTCAAATTAATCCCACCCAACCACAATAAAAAAAAAGGTAAAATACTAGAAAATACTTCTCATTTAGTTATTTAACTTTGTAGACAAAAAATTGTGATGAGAAAGATGGATGGTGTCCTAGAGGTACAATTGAGAAATGTCGAGACTTGATGACAGAGCACACAGAAAAACTAATACATCAGTCAGGTTCGTCATTAGAACCTGGAGAATATGGTGAGTACACCAATTACCTTATGTAGGATACCATTCAATTACCTCATATAGGTTAATATTGTATTATCTTATGTAGTTAACATTGTATTATCTTATGTAGTTAACATTGAATAATCTTATGTAGTTAACATTGAATTATCTTATGTAGTTAACATTGAATAATCTTATGTAGTTAACATTGAATTATCTTATGTAGTTAACATTGTATTATCTTATGTAGTTAACATTGAATTATCTTATGTAGTTAACATTGAATTATCTTATGTAGTTAACATTGAATTATCTTATGTAGTTAACATTGTATTATCTTATGTAGTTAACATTGTATTATCTTATGTAGTTAACATTGTATTATCTTATGTAGAATACCATACAATTATATTATGTAGGTTACCAGTCTAGTCTTAGTCAAAATTAGAAGCCAAAATAAAAGAAAAATTATTTAGATTAAGTTAAGTGATTAATATCAGGTTATTTAAAAGGACATTGACAATAAGAGTGCAGTTATTTAACAATATTTTTATAATTGAGTTAAACATCTATCTTATACAATTTCACAACTTTTAAAAAAATTTTAGTCCTCAGGTGAAAATCAATTTAACCCTAGATCTCTTGATAGATTATTATGTCTGCTCTTCGATGGCTTTCAACAATGAGAAAAACCTATACCGTATAGTCAGCTATAAAAGGCCCTTACTTGAAAAATGTGAAACAATTCAAACGAGCAGCCTAATTTATAACAAAACAAATTACGAAAAGCAAATATTACAGACATGAACCAATGACAACCATTAAACTACAGGCTCCTGACTTGGGACAGGTACATGAAGAATGTGGTGTGTTAAACATGTTTGTGAGCTCTCAACCCTCCCCTAAGCTGGGACAGTGGTGTAACAGCACAACAAGAACAAACTGTAAAAATCAGTTGAAAAAGGCTTAACTCAGAAGGTAGGTACAAGGCACATACACAACTCACATAAATACAATAGACACAAAGCACTTAAATAAGAGAACTCACAGTTACTGAAAGCTAGTTTAAAACCAACTACAAGTAATAAATAAATCATGTTCTCCCAGACTAAAGTTATGATTGGTTTTGATTTTATCTGATATTTACTGCAAATAATTGTTTTATGAGAGTCAATTATGAGCATTATGAGTTATAGTTTTAGATGGAATGTGGTTATATAATCACTTGATATATTATAAATGAAACCAAACTGTAGTGTCTCCTGAATGTATGGTTCACATCAACTTTCATTTATCCTTTGGATAACATTTGGTCCGAGTACACAGTTATTTCGTAGTGCATTTCTTTAAGACAATAAATGAAAATAAAAAAAATCCCACCTGCGCCTTCTCAATAATATTCTTACAGTGTGTTGTACTACTTTTGGGACAAATTATATCAAAATTATAGAAAACTTCATCGGCTCTAACTCAAAATATGGACAATTTCATGTTAAGGGGGTCTTGAAATCTTTTGACAGCTTCCAAAGTGCTAATTTTTAACCTTTTTCAGCTGGACCAAATCACTACTTTACTTTAAAATTCATGACCCAAATTTTTTTACAGTGTAATTTCATCCCCCTACTTGCTATTTGAGGCATAAAACATGAAGAAATACATTTGGAAGGGGTATAAAAAAAATGGCAAGTAACACACTGTCCACACTATGGACTATATTTGTGGACAACGAAAATTAGGGGACGATAACTGTGTTCCCGGACCATTTAAAGAACTCAAAACGATTAAGATTTACCTCCCCTGGCTTATTCATTTCTACTCTAAAAAGTTCTATATGAAAATGGACCACCATTAAACTCTCAGAACTTGTAGATTTGATTCTTCTTGAATGACTGTCATCTTTTTTATGCCCCATTTATAGGCATTATGTTTTTCGGTTTGTGCATCTGTTTGTTCGTTCATCCGTCCGTCCGTCCATCTGTCCCGCTTTAGGTTAAAGTTTTTGGTAATGGTAGTTTTTGATGAAGTTGAATTCCAATCAACTTGAAACTTAGAACACATGTTCCCTATGATATGATCTTTTTAATTTTAATGCCAAATTAGAGTTTTGACCCCAATTTCACGGTCCACTGAACATAAAAAATGATAGTGCGAGTGGGGCATCCGTGTACTATGGACACATTCTTGTTATTTTGAATATGTGAACATAAATTTTGGGAAATACTGGATTCCTAGTCATCTGTTCTTTGATAATATACTGCAAAAAATGCAATATTAAGATGATTAACCTATTGATTAAAATTTCAAATCTTTCATGATATATAGCTGGTTTAAACAAAGATGTTGGCGATCATGACATTATTAAAAAGCAGATCTTTGTTCATGCCAATTACATTTTAGTTTTTCAGAGTTTGATCATGTCATTCATTACTGTACCTTTCATCAAAATTTTTTAACATGCTAAGCACAGAATGATAATATTTTAGGGGAATATGAGCAAAATGACAAAAGATTAGAGTAGATCATCTGGATAAGGTCCAGTGAGTTTTTTTTCAGGTTATCTGAACCACATGTTCACTGTATCCTCTGATTGAATTTTTATGCTGTACGATGAAACAAAAATTCAGAACAATTTAAAAATGAAATTTGTTATTTTATTTTTTGTTTTTTTTTATGAAGACAGTCAAAAACTTCAAATTTTCATTTCCTTGATTCACTCTCACAGTTCAGTGTGACATGAACTATTAATAAGAAAATCGTCAGTATTGAAATAATTATTCTGAACAACTTAATGTATCAATAAATCCACAGCTGCTTGCTATATATAAACTATTTACAACATGTTGAAATATTTGTGTTGCATCAGCATATTCATTAACTACACAGTGTCTAATATCTGTTAACATCCTTAAACAGAGTTTGTCATTTAAAATATAATCTTGTAAAAATCTGTAAAAAAAACGAAACATTTCGTTTTGAATGTAATTATGTAAAATTCTTAAAAAATAAACATTTCAAAATGATCAATCAAAAATCTTTGAAGTGAAAAAAAAAATGAATCCTGATGAAATTAAGATATCTATGATACATATAATTAGTCTTATTTTATACCTGTGCATGATTTATATTAAATTTGCAACACCTACAACTATATTCAAGATCTATATTATGTAGAGTGGGTGTTATATTTCAATCACCTTGTCTCTTTATCAGTTTGTCTGTAACTTACTAACTGCTTTTGTATTAAGGAATGATTTGATATTTGGCCTATATCTTTATGATAAAATAGAAAAGAAGGTATAATAAAATTTAGGACACAAATGACTACACACACTTGACCAAAAAAAGACTTTTATTGCTGTTCTCCATTTTAAAGTCATAGGGTTGAATTTAACACAGAGAAAAGTTCACCCTTAAATGCAAGTTCAAGACACCCCTAAGCACAGTTTGAGCTCTTTAATTTGTGGATCATACTATAAATGTGCATTAAAGAACACCACTGTGTGTGAATACTAAATGTTATGAATTATATCTGGGGGGAAAATCTAACAAATACCGTTATCAAAATGTTTTGAATGTACAGTGTTGTAGATTTTCAGATCTGCAGGCAGTCACTTCCTGTTTTTACCAAACGAGCATTGAATTTTTTATCAATGAAGTGATTCGTGTATTCTTTGTATGACATCATGTGCAACATCTTGTTTATTTTTGTCATCATAATGCATAAAAAGCATATACTATAAAATTCAATATATGACGTCAACCACGGATTAGTACTGTGGATTCATTATTAATCGTTGGATAACTATTACTATGGATATCGTTTGTACAAGGAAACCACAAACTTAAATGTGCAAACGACTTACAAAATGTCAAATGTTCTATAGAAATATATGCTTACTTAAGCAAAACTAAGAAAATGCAAGTTTTTCTCAATCCATGAAAATTGGTACACACAAAAAATAAATGAATCCACAGTAATTAATCTAGATAATTAGGAAAACATCTAAGGATTCATCTTTTTAACCAGTATTTTGAGTACTATTATAACTAAAACCTTGGGTTTAGAATGATATGTATGTTTATTTACCTCTGTTATTACAGAACTAGGAACAGAATGAATCTGAAATCATCCTTTGATAGTGATGTCTGTAACTCCTACCTTTTTAGCTCAACTGGCCTAAAAGGCCAAATGAGCTTTTCTCATCACTTGGCGTCCATCGTCGTCGTTTACTTTTACAAAAATCTTCTCCTCTGAAAGTTCAAACTACTGGGCCAATTTAAATCAAACTTGGCCACAATCATCATCGGGGTATCTAGTTTAAATAATTTGTCAGATGACCTCGCCTGTCAACCAAGAAGGCCGACATGGCTTAAAATAGAACATAGGGGTAAAATGCAAGTTTTGTCTATTATTTTGAAAACCGTTATAAATAGAGAAAATCAGACATGAGCAAAAATGTTCAGAATGTTGAGTTCTACCAATTGTTTTATATGCCAAAACTGTCAGATGACTTCTAAAAGGAGTTATTTCCCATAAATGACAAATTTTACCATGATTTTTTATTTTTGCCTATTATCTTGAAAACTAAAATAGATCGAGAGAAACTTTAAATTGCAAAAATGATCAGCAAGATAAGTTTCACAAATAAGTCTAATGGTACAAATCGTCAGTAGACTCCTAATTAGAGTTATTGCCCTTTGATGACCATTTTTACCAATTTTTTGCATTTTTATGCCCCCGCCGTAGCGGTGGGGACATTAAGTTTTACCCCTGTCCGTCTGTACATACGTCCGTACGTCCCAAAATTGGTTTCCGTTCTCTAACTTGAGTTTGCATCAACCAAATGTTATGACACTTATTATCACAAAACACAGATCAAGTTTGAATTTTGGTGGCTTCACTTTAACCGTTCTAGAGTTATGCCCCTTTATAAATGGAGAAATTGCAAAATTTTTAGTTTCCGTTCTCTTACTTCAATTTGCCTCAACCAAATGTTATGAAACTTATACACAATGCTTATTACCACAAA